ACAAAATATAAAGCCACTTTTTCAATTCCAAGAAAAAGTTAATGACTTAATTTTTTGCCAGCGTTTAACAACAACTACCAAAATTTAAAAAAAAGAAGAGAATAAATAACAAATTTTCTTGCACTATGAATGTATAAAAAACAAATTCGAATGAATCAAATTTATTCAAAAAAAAAAAATGGAACATTGTATCATTTTTTTGTCGTAATTATTTGTGTAGTGCATCAATACTAGACAGTTTTTTGTTACTATCGTTATCAGCTTTATAATATTCTTAAACACTGGCCTTTGGTGGAAACTAAAAAAAAAATAAAAAAATCGAGAAAGTAGAAAACGTAAATATCAAGAAAAATGTAAATCATCGTGAAAGGCAAGTAACGAATTGCATAAAGGAAACAACTATTTCTAGAAAGATGCAGAATTTTCTATGGCTTGGTTCTTTAGTCGCATTTAATTTTATTGAAATTGCTTTGTAAAAGCAGATGTTAATGTATATATATATATATATATATATATATATACCTATATATATATACCTATGTAAATATATATTCATGTACACCTTTGAAATAAGTAAATAAATGATTTTTCAGAAATGCACACTCGTTTAGACTTCCAAGCATTGGAAGACAAGAGAGTAATTTACCAGTGTTGGTTAACGCAGAATCTATATGAAACATATGCAGGAAGAAGAAAGTGACATACGAAATATAAAGGATAACTTTATATTATATAAAGGTATATTTAAAATAAAATCGGTTATGCTTGTTTGTCTAACCATCGAAAAGAGCTTCACAGAATAGATGCACTGTTATTTAATTATTCAAATTGACTTGTACTATTTATCCAACATTCCGTTTAAATTTTTTTTTCGCTTTTATCATTATTTTATACTATATCTTTTTTCTCTTCTACTGCCTTGTTATTTCCTTTATATTCAGTAATTGTGTTTATTTGTATGCGTGCTACTTAGTACAATGTCTGTAATTGCAATAAGTACTTTTTTTAAACAAAAAAGAAACATTAGAAACTGGATTTTTTTTAATACTATAAAAAAAGAAATACATTTGTATATATTTATATATTAATAGTAAGTCATTGAATTAATCCGTGACTCACTTTTTTGACACACTTTGCATCTCTTTCCTCTATTAATACTTTACGTTTGACAACACTAAAGGTTTACGTCATTTCTCCGTTGGAAGAATATATTGGAAAAATTGGAAATTTTTTCTGTCGGTGAAGAAAAAAGAAGACAAATATTGCAAAGCAATCACAAATTATTACAATATGTTTCGTGAAGCATAAGATTCGTGTATAATCCCTTTTAAATCAAATAGTTTCAAATTTTATAAAAGAAAAATCTTTTGAAAAGACGATTTTGTAGTATCTGACGGAAGGAGAAAAGAAAGATAATTGCTCGCAAACATTTCACCATTCTTTCCAGTGAAGTAAATGAGGGAATTTCGATGAATTTTCCCTGCGTTTTTGTGGTATCAGCTATAAATATAAGAAGTTAAAATAGTTTTGATTTACACATCGAGCAACTGTGAAGAGCGTCTATTATATTTGAAGTGAGAGAAGCGAGCAAATGAGAAAAACTCAATTCTGTGTTAAATAAAAAAATTTTTTCGTAAATAAAAAAAGTGAATTTCAAAAGTACTTTGAACTAAAAAAAGAGAAGAATTTATATCACGTCGAGCAACACTGAAACTAAAAACAAGATTTTTTTTTTTGTTTAAAATACAGGTAATCCTTTAAAAGAAATTAAGGTGATATTTAACACTTCCTGATATCTGTTTACATTAGTATAGAGTGCAGAACAGTGCGTTTCATCTTTTTTATTTTACAGTAGATTGTTCCCGTTTTTCTTGTTAATTTATACTCCACTTATTGAGAAAAATCGTTAGTATAACTTTATAACAATCTTGCAATGATTTTTCTTTCCTGTTCGTATATTTAGATATAAGAAAGGGCCGTTTCTTTTTATTCACTTGGCTTGAGAAAATATAGCGAATTTCTATGAATTTTTTTCCTTATAGAGATCAAAAAGGACTTGCACGTTGTTATCGATCATCTTCTAGCGCACATATTTTTAATTTTAATATATTTCAGAGGGGAAAGGTCGTATTTTGGAAAACTAGGTTTTTACAAAGCATATCATTTTACATTCTATCAACCGTATTCATATTTCTTTCTACAAAATCTGAAAACGCATTTTGTACTCTCTTTTTTAGGGGGCGTTGAAAAGAGAGGACATTGAAAGTCTAATCATTGTTACTTTATAAAAAATTTTGTAATAAAAAGATACTAAAATATCCTTGATACTCCTTCGTTGATGTACTGTCCATTTTTTTTTTTGCTTCTATTTCAATTTTCGCTTAGGCTAAATATTTCATGTATCTGTTAGCAAGGAACGGATGATATTGGAAAAAAGAATAGAAACACCTCATAGCAATTACATATTATTAAGAAATTTTGTAAAAGTTTTATAAATTTTGTCATTTTTGTTTTTGAAACATTCTAATAGATTTTATACAAAATTAATTTTGCAATAATTTGGAAAAAAAATAGCTAATTACATAATTATAAATACGTATCTTCATATACATAATTATATATGTTATATATATCGATAAGTTCGCTTTATATACACGGTGAGCTTTTGAAGTAACCTTAAATCAATAATACATTAAACGTCTGCGAACATTGTGCTTTGCAATTGTGTTGAAAGAACAAGTAGAAAATTGTTCATTTTATATAAAGCAGGTTTTTTTTTTCGGGGAAAAAGAGTGAACTTTGAAAATATTTTCTATTAAAAAGAAAAAAAAAAAGAAGAAAATTTACATTGTGTTTAGATATTAAAGCTATAAAGGCCACTTTTTGCTTTGCGCTACAATAGTTAAAGGTGAAATTTATATTTTTTCCGTGTGTTTTCTTGCCCTGGCTTTTCTTTTATGTGTATACGTATCATGGGTTTTTATTTTCTCACGAAAAAGTCGGAAATTTGAAAAAAGTATTGCAGTCGTTAACTTAATACTTATATGTGTTCCGTTTTTCAGCTTGTAGCTGGTCATTATAGTAACAATAATAACTATTCGCCATTGAAAGTATATTTCGAAACACTGGTTAAGGGGTGTGTGTATCGCCAAATCTTTTGCGTTCATACAAAATAAAAATGACTACGAAATTGGCTTCAAAAATTAATAAATGTTTTTGCTATTGTTCTTTTACATTTGCAGATTTTTTAAAATGCAGATCTTCGTGAAGACATTGACTGGAAAAACTATCACCTTGGAGGTTGAGCCATCCGATACTATTGAGAATGTTAAAACTAAAATTCAAGATAAAGAGGGTGTCCCACCAGATCAACAACGTTTGATCTTTGCTGGCAAACAGTTGGAAAATGGCCGCACACTCTCTGACTACAACATTCAGAAAGAATCGACACTCCATTTGGTTTTACGTTTGCGTGGTGGCATGCAAATATTTGTTAAAACTTTGACTGGAAAAACCATCACTTTGGAAGTAGAATCGTCGGATACTATCGAAAACGTTAAAGCAAAAATCCAAGACAAGGAAGGTATTCCTCCAGACCAACAGCGTTTGATCTTTGCTGGAAAACAGTTGGAAGATGGCCGCACGTTGTCTGATTACAACATACAGAAAGAATCCACATTGCATTTGGTATTGCGTCTCCGCGGTGGAATGCAAATATTTGTTAAAACTTTGACTGGA